CAGCCAACACGGAGATTTCTAGATCGGAGCTCGTCTGAGGCTGGTGCCACCTCTTCAGCCAGTTCGATCCTGCCGGGCTCCACAGCTGCCCCCCTTTAGCCAGGACACTCCCCCTTCACCTACTCAAGCCAAAAGTTTTAAGAAGGGCCCAAATGGATCCTAGTGGGCATGGGGCCTATCAGCCTGCAACAGAACCTGCCCCTACCGGCTGGGCTTCTCTCCAGTTCTCGGAGTAGGAGGACCCGTCACTTTTATGCCCTCGCACTGCAGGCACCTGGCCTTATTTTCCCTCTTGGGACTGAGCTACAAAGCAGGGGAAGGAGGCAGAACCTTCCCCCTGACTTCACGAGCTCTCAGTCCTGTGCCAAGGACGGTGGGTGGGCACCAGAGGAAATGGCCCTTTTCTCAGGGAAGGGATTTACAGTCTGACCGGATTGACTGGAGTCCCTAAGAGCACATGCACCAGCCAACCAAAGCAGCTCAGCTAGTTCTCCCCCGACTGCCATGGGATTATCCGATGGGCACAGTCTCCCCCGTCGTGCCAGAGACCCGGCTGAAATTTACTGCCTGGGGCCAGTCAGAGCAGTTCCTGCCGGCCTGTCCAGCGCCCATGGCTATTTAGTCAGCTATCAACATACATCTTGGCCCTGCTGTGAGGAAGCTTACCGTGAGCCCCACGCTGGTACAGCAGCAGGTATCTGCGGTTACGCAAGGGAGATTTCATCACGGTGTCACCAGCAGCACGCCCATCATTGGGACCACGTGAACTCCCATGCCACTAGCAGCACCACATTGGAATTGGAAGAGGTACAGAAAGGGCAACAAAAATGATCCGGGATGTGGAACACCTTCCACATGCGGAGAGACTAATCGGACTGGGACTGTTCAGCTTGGAAAAGAGACAACTAAAGGGGGATATGATAGGGGTCTGTAAAATCATGACTGGTGTGGAGAAAGTGAATAAGGAAGTGTTATTTACTGCTCGGAACACAAGAACTAGGGGTCACCAAATGAAAGTAATAGGCAGCAGGTTTAAAACAAACAAAAGGAAGTATTTCTTCACACAACGCAGTCAACCTGTGGAACTCCTTGCCAGAGGATGTTGTGAAGGCCAAGACTATAACAGGGTTCAAAAAGAACTAGATAAATTCATGGAGGATAGGTCCATCCATGGCTATTAGCCAGGATGGGCAGGAATGGTGTCCCTAGCCTCTGTTTGCCAGAAGCTGGGAATGGGCGACAGGGGATGGATCACTTGATGATTCCCTGTTCTGTTCATTCCCTCTGGGGCACCTGGCATTGGCCACTGTCGGAAGACAGGATATGGGGCTAGATGGACCTTTGGTCTCAGCCAGTGTGGCCATTCTTATGTTTTTACCATAACTCCAGAAGTTAGCAAAGAACAGCAAGTGAGCCACAACGCAGTTAACGTCTGAGGATTTTATTCTGGTCCACAAGTAAGTGTAATAGAGTCACGTTTCCGTCATATCCCAAACAGCGAGCTGAGCAGGGAGTTTTAAATAAATTAGAAGTCAGTTATTTCATGGAAGTGCAAGTCAGGAGGAGTGCAGACAGTCGAGTTCGAACAGGACGCCAGTCATCTGGCTTCATTTTTAAGAGGGGGGGAGGGCAAAGTGCAGCTCAAAGGCCAAAAGTGGGTTACAAGAACCTATGGCATCACTGGCAGCCACCTTCATCTTCAATCTGTAGGTGCAGCCCACTGAGACTACAAGTCCCAGCATGCAGCGCTCTGCTCCAAGCAGCCAGGCCAGAGCATTGCATACTGGAACCTGTGGTGCCAGTACAGCTGCAATCCTCCCCAGTTCACCCAAGCTCGGTGCTGCCCTGGGGCTGCAGGCTGCATTTCTCCTGGTGATACATCGCTGCCATCACTCTGCCGTAGGCTTCACCTGCTTGGCCGCTTCCAGCTGCGTCAGCATTTCATCCCACTGGACAAACTGCTTAGACAGAAGCAGGGTCTGAAGAAGGCTTTTAAGGAAGAAGAGGTAGAATGTGGCAAAGAACATGGTAGCGAAGCCGAGGCTGGCGTGGTCCTGGAGAATGAACCTAGGAGACTCTCAGAAGCCAGACTGAGCCCAGCCACTGTCAGACACCTGATTCATACAGAGGTGAACACGGAACAGGCCTGGGGCCTCCGCCTCTCTCCCGTGACAGGTAACAGCGGAGCCTGGGCTCACGCACCGCAGCAAGTAGAGAGCAAGCGATCAGATTCAAGCCCCGGGAAGCACTGTGCTGATCCTCAGGAGGCTCTCCCAGAGCTGGGATTGCAAGGGCCCAAGATGACAGCGGAGTTTAGTACAGAGTCAGAACAGCCCACCTGACGCCCTGCTCTCTAGTCTGCTACGCCACAGGAAGGAGGCCTACAGCCTTCATTTGGGATCCACACTTCTCACTCTGAAGGTAGCAGAGCCATTAATGACAGGTTTCAGAGTAGCAGCCGTGTTAGTCTGTATCCGCAAAAAGAACAGGAGTACTTGTGGCACCTTAGAGACTAACACATTAGAGCATAAGCTTTCGTGGGCTACATCCGAAGAAGTGGGCTGTAGCCCACGAAAGCTTATGCTCTAATAAATGTGTTAGTCTCTAAGGTGCCACAAGAGCCATTAACGTAGCTCAGGCCGGTGCTCTCAGCGATCAGCAGTCCAAGCGACCCACATGCTGACGGCTCCCGGTCCAGGATGGGCTCTGGGCAAGAAGCTGTCAGAATGGAGAGTGCAAACGAACAGGTTTCTCTGCTGTTGTGTTGAGACCAGCCCTCGTGAGGCGTTCAGGCCGCAGGGCTCCTAGCCCAGCGTGAGCTCCTCTCAGTGAGGGGGGATCTAGGCGCTCACTCACTGGGCTAGCTGGACGCTCAGGGCAGTATCAGCGCTTGGGTAACATGACACAGCAGTGTGTCACACACCGAACAGAGGCTGCGCCATAGGGGACAGCACGATACACAGACGGCTCTCTCTTTTCAAAAGCCGGGGGCTAGAGCAGTCAGCTACCCAAGATATCCAATGGGCTGAAGAATCCTGAGTGTGTCGTTCTGCCACTTGGTACAGCTATTTTCAGATTAACAATGGTCCTGCAAGCCGCCAGCGCCCCACACGCTGGCTGGGCTGTGCCCGTGGCCCTGGGTTAAAGGATACCATTTTATTGTAGTCTTCTAGGAGCACCCGGACGTTTTCGGTTACTGCTTCGCACTGGTCCTGCAACAGGAGGAGAGCGCTGAGTGAACAGGCAATAAGAGACATTCTGATCTGGATACAGCACTTTCCAGCTCCAAAGCACTTCAGAGCATTTACCTCCCAGCCCCCGGGAGGAAGGTAACTATCCTAGGGAAACTGAGGCCAGGAGGAAGCGCCTCGGCCCAGGTCAGAGCCTGGCTTCGCATTTGGACGTTCCAGGCTATGATCAGGGTTGCTGCGGGAAGTTCTGACGGTCACAGAAAAGGACAATCAAATGAGGTGCAGGAAACCACAAAGCAAATGAAGTGTCTAAAGCACAGGGGCTGGCAGTACTGGACACTCAATGGCAACATCTATGCTAATGCAGAGATAAGGCTGCTGGGCGGAATGTCATCCCCCTGCAGAACACGGAGCCGAGCAAAACCCAAGCTTCTGAAACCCAGGCAAGGCTCAGGTTGCCTAGGCAACAACCTTAGCTCCCTCTTCCAGCAATGCCCCAGTACCAAACACACATTCTGGGGATCACCCAGACCTGTAAGGGGTTGTCCCCGCCTGCCTGTAACTTTGGGTGCCTTCTGGCTGCGCTGCTGTGGCTCAGAGCCCTGACACCACTAGCCAGCCTACAAGCATAAGGTTCTCAACGCTGGCTTCCACCCTCCACTAGCCCTTCTGGTCCCGAGTCACCCCCACCCCCCAAATCCATCTCCCTGAGTTCTTAACTACCAGACACTCAGACTTTTCCCCTCTGGTTCGTCACCCCCGAAGGAGTGAAACCTGCCCCCAGTTATCACTTCACTTTGGTGCACACACTCCCCACAGTTTGCACACCAGACACCTGCTTGGGGTAAAAGCAAACAGGATTTCACAGAAAACGCAGATCCAAAGATGAAATAGTGAGGAAAAGCAAAGTTACACAGAAAAGAGACACATGCAATCTCAGGCTTCACTTCTGTATTAGCTAAATTCTAGAGATGTCGATTAATCGCAGTTAACTCACATGATTAACTCAAAAAAATTAATCGCGCTTAATCATACTGTTAAACAACAGAATATCAATTGAAATGTATTAAATATTTTTGGATGGGTTTCTACATTTTCAAATACATCGATTTCAATTACAACACAGAATACAAAGTGCACACTGCTCACTTTATATTATTTTTTATTACAAATATTTCCACTGTAAAAATGATAAACAAAAGAAACAGTATTTTTCATTTCCCCTCATACAAGTACTGTAGTGCAACCTCTATTGTGAAAGTGCAACTTACAAATGTAGTTTTTTGTGTCACATAACTGCACTCAAAACCAAAACAATGTAAAACTTTAGAGCCTACAAGTCCACTCAGTCCTATTTCTTGTTCAGCCAATCGCTCAGACAAACAAGTTTGTTTACATTTACGGGAGATAATGCTGCCTGCTTCTTATTTACGTCACCTGAAAGTGAGAAGAGGGTGTTCGCATGGCACTTTTGTAGCTGGCATCGCAAGATATTTACATGCCAGATGGGCTTAAGTTTGATATGCTTCTTCATGTTTTGGCCATCATTCCAGAGGACATGCGTCCATGCTGATGTCGCTCATTAAAAAACTAACTGCGTTAATTACATTTGTGACTGAACTCTTTGGGGGAGAATTGTATGTCTCCTGCTCTGTGTTTTACCCACATTCTGCCATACGTTTCATGTTATAGCAGTCTCGGACGATGACCCAGCACATGTTGTTCACTTTCACCGCAAATTTGACAAAATGCAAAGAAGGTACCAATGTGAGATTTCTAAACATAGCTACAGCACTTGACCCAAGGTTTAAGACTCTGAAGTGCCTTCCAAAATCTGAGAGGGATGAGGTGTGGAGCATGCTTTCAGAAGTCTTAAAAGAGCAACACTCTGATGTGAAAACTGCAAAACCCAAACCACCAAAAATGAAAATCAACCTTCTGCTGGTGGCATCTGACTCAGATAATGAAAATGAACATGTGTCGGTCCGCACTAATTTGGATCGTTATCGAGCAGAACCCGTCATCAGCATGGACGCATGTCCTCTGGAATAGTGGTTGAAGCAAAAAGCGACATATGAATCTTTAGCACATCTGGCACGTAAATATCCTGCGACGCCGGCAGCATTATCTTCTGCAAATGTAAACAAACTTGTTTATCTGAGCGATTGGCTGAACAAGTAGGACTGATTAGACTTGTAGGCTCTGAAGTTTTACATTGTTTCGTTTCTGAATGCAAGTGGTTTTTGTACATAATTCTATGTTTGTAAGTTCAACTTTCATGATAAAGAGATTGCACTACAGTACTTGTATTAGGTGAATTGAAAATTATTTCTTTTGTTTTTTACAGTGCAAATATTCATAATAAAAAATAAATATGAAGTGAGCACTGTACACTTTGTACGGTTGTAACTGAAATCAATATACACCTCTACCCCGCTATAACGCGGTCATGGGGAGCCAAAAATCCCTACCGCGTTATAGCTGAAATCCCGTTATATCGGGGTAAGGGCGGCAGGGCTCCAGCAGGGATTTAAAGAGCTCCGGGCTCCAGCCGCTGCGGGGAGCCCCAGGCCCTTTAAATCGCCGGTGGAGCCCCGCTGCCGCAGCCCCGGGGTAGGGGCGGCAGGCCTTAGTTTTCCAAGACCTTAGGATTTCTTTTCAGTTTCAATGTCTTTCTATTAAACGTAATGGTCCCCATTGTCTTTCCCTCGGTTTGTACAGTGCTAGATCCTTGCAGTTAGCTTTGCAAACAGCTAGCCTGTAACCCGCCCTGCCTGATTCATTCACCTCCTGTTGTGAGGTGATGCTGCAGTTGCATTGTAGGGCTTGTCTACACCTGAAATGCTACAGTAGCACAGACGCAGCATGGACAGTGCCTATGCTAATGGCAGGGGCTAGGTCAACTTAACAATTTCACTCAGGGGGCTGGATTTTTTACACCCTCAGTGGCGTAAGATGGGCTGACTTAACTCTTTAGTGTAGGCCAGGCCCTAGTTACAATTACACTGTTCTACACACACAAAACCATTACTTGTGTACATATCACCTCATGACCATCACGTTCAGACCATCACAAGCTTCCATAAAAGACCTTGCTTGACACATTTCTACACCGTAACACTGCTAATACATCTGTTAGTCTTAAAGCTGCCACAGGACTCTCTGTTGCTGTGTATAACCAGTTGATTCAGTTGCTTATTCTTTGGGGTTCAGACCCCTGTTGTCTCCTGGGGGGCCTGGACCTTGTCTGTCACAAAAAGCCCATCTACCATTACCCACGGGATGCCATCTAGCACTACTGAAGGAGCAAAAGGCTGCCCCATGTCACCTTCCCTCGCCTCTCCTCTCTTCAAGCAATGCCTCAATAGCACACACTCATACTGGCCCTTGGCACTGTATGATTCCGGAGGTTCCAGATCCTGCCGTACACTCACACACATAGGCCTGGTGTACACTAGCAAATCAGGTTGATTTAACTACATTGCTCAGGGATGAGAAAAATCCACCCCTGAGTGATGCAGTTCAGCTCACCTAATCCCCAGTGTAGCCAGCGCTAGGTCATCAGAAGAATTCTTTCATCATAGAATATCAAGGGCACACTGTTGACTCATATCCAGCTTCTCGTCTACTGTAACCCCTAGGTCCTTTTCTGCAGAACTGCTGCCTAGCCATTCGGTCCCTAGTCTGTAGCAGTGCATGGGATTCTTCCGTCCTAAGTGCAGGACTCTGCACTTGTCCTTGTTGAAAAAGGTTTCTTTTGGCCCAATCCTCTAATTTGTCTAGGTCCCCCTGTATCCTATCCCTACCCTCCAGCGTATCTATCACTCCTCCCAGTTTAGTGTCATCTGCAAACTTGCTGAGAATGCAATCCACGCCATCCTCCAGATCAGTGGTCCCTAACCTTTTTCGTCTGGTGGGCACCAGATGACAAGCCACGGAGGACCGTGGCGGAGGACGAGCATCTGCCGAAATGCCGCCGACAAGCAGTGTCATCCAGAGGCATTGCCACCGAAATACCGCCAAAAATCGGCGGCGACACCTCTGGATGACACAGCTTGTCAGTGGCATTTCGGCGGATGCTCGTCCACCGGACAGTACACGGGTGCACTTAGACCATGGTGCCAGCGGGCACCATGTTGGGGATTCCTGCTCCAGATCATTAATGAAAATACTGAACAAAACCGGCACCAGGACCGACCCTTGGGACACTCCGCTTGATACCAAGCTACTGCCTGAGGGGAAGTGGATTCCCTATGCCAATGGGAGAACCCTTCCCGACAGCATAGGCTATGTCTACACTGAAGCAGGACAGCAGTGCTGCTACAGCACTTCAAGTGCGGACAAGCCCTTAGCCAGCTCCCCAGAAAGAGCACAAGTGTACAATTTAAGAACCACTTCTCAGCCTTTTACAACTCCCTTAAACCTACTCCTAGGAGACCATCTCATTTCACTTATCCATCACGAAAGCATTAGAACCCTCTCATTCCCCCTCACTGCTGACATCCTGGATTAGAAAAGCCCACTGCCCTGCTATTGACATAACCTACACAATACAATTGTGCACAGAAATGATGCATGCTGCATCCTGAAGGAATCCACGTACCTCTTCCCTTTGCTCACACTTATCGGGGGTGCAAAACACAGATCTCCTTCTATCGCAATCACAGCTCTGCCATGCACCTCAAAGAAATCCATACATATCCTGAGGCCTAATTATTGCCTCCACCAGTTAGTGAAAGTCCACCTAACACACTGTCTGCAGCTGAAGTGCATCCAAATACTTCCCCGGAGCTGGCAGTGGCCACTGAGAACACCAGGAAGGTGGCACGGGCAACTTCTTTTGTCCTTTAACAGCGCTCGATGGAATCCTGTGCCTAAGTACAACTGGTCTGTAAGAGGAGGTGAAGCGCTCGCACATTTCAGCAGTTGTGGGGTTGGCAGAGTAAAGGGGTCTGTGGGGGGGGGGGGGATATATTGGGGCATTGCTGAAAGAGGGCAGAGCTAAGCTCACATGGGCACCCGTAACTGGGCATTTCCTGGCTTTCAGGCAGTGGAGTTTTGCTCAGCTTGCTGTTCTGCAAGGAGACCCTGAACTCCACTGACTGTGCTTTCTTTGCCCAGGAATTCCCCAGGGGTGTTAAACAAAAGGTAGGTTGTTGGTAGGAGCTAGTGGCCATTTAAGTGGTTGTAGGTATCAGCATACTGAGCCAGCTGTCCCTGTCTCCCCTCATCCCCACATACACCAGCTGCACCCCACCAGCCAAGCTTCAGCACACCTCCCAAGCCATGCTCCTAACCCCTTCAAGGTGTCCCCTCCTCCAACCTGCCCCCTCCCCACACACCCCCGACTAAACCAGGCCTCCCATCCGGGAACGCATCTCCCTGAAGGCTTCATTCCCTGGTCTACAAACGCTTCTATTTCCGTTACTTCCCCCGCCTATAACCCAGCTCACATGAAGTGCCTGGAGCAAAGGGCAACTACAGTACAGTGGCATAGGGTTGGATACACTGGCAGAGCTGGGGGGGGGGAGGGAGGGGAGGACTACAGGGCATTGGGGTGCACTGGCACAGCAGTTAAGGGAAACTGGCAGAGCTAGGGGGTGCTGTACCTCCTGCACCTGAGCCCCCAACCTCTCTTGCCTCCCCTACCATCCATCCCCATTTATCCCTCTCCCCATAACTCCCCTCGCTGCATTCCCAAACCCATCTCCCTCTATTTCTCTACTGCCCCACCCCCAGATACCTCTCCCTTCCCAGGAAGCCTTCACCTGTCTAGTCTCTCCCCCGCCCCTCAACATTCCCCACAAAACAAAATTGCTCCCCATGATTCACAAATTATAGCAACCTCCAGTCACTCAGTCCAAAACAACTTTTAACCTAGGTGGGGGCCTGTGATGAATTTACCCTTTGTTGTGTTCACTGAAGGGTGAGTTCACAGCCGTCAACAGGTCTGAGATTCATCCCTTATTAGTGCTGTTAAACTGAGCAGTACAAGGCAGCAAAAGGAAATCATGGGGGGGCAGTGGACAGGAAGGCCTGTAATTCAGGAACCTTTCAGTCAAATGACTCCACCAATATAATATTTGACTGCCTCCCTCTCGCTGCACCCTTTGTACACGGCTTATCTCCCCAGAGCGCAAGTGTCTTGGGACAGCAACTGTACTCTGTACAGCTCCTACACAACAGGATCCCGAGTGAGGCCTCCAGGTACTACAAAATCTACACTGCACTAGTGGCCACATGCCCCAGCTGGGATCAGGGCCTTATTGGGCTAGGCAATCTACAGACACAGTCAGCGAGTCACCCGCCCAAGAAGCCTAAGGCTGCAAAAGAGACAAGCCCTAATGCAGAGGTACAGAACTGGGGGAAGAAGAGACAAAGGAGCTAGTAATACGAACACACCAGGGTACAAGGGTGAATGGTTTGGGGAGTAAGACACTGGTCTGGGACTCAGGAGCTCTGGGTTCACTTCCCAACTCTGCCCCAAACTTCCTGTGTGATGTTGGGCTGGTCACTTCACCTCTCCATGCCCCAGTTACTCTCTCTCTAACGTAGAAATGTTACTCCGTTAAATCCACTGCAGTTTTTAAAAAGCCACCCAAAGCTATTTGTACACAGAGATGTTCCTGAGCAGAGATCTCTTCTGACTCCTGGAAATTCCATGATTTGGACAAACTGAAAACAATGTAATGGAAAGAAGAAATACTGATAATCTTAACTAGAGTGGTTCTAGTCTGTGTTACTAATTACCACATCCTTGCCCACGAATTACCTACGGTTAACTAGAGGCTCCATCCCTGCCCACTGAAGGTTAACCATGATGAGTATTCACTCTACCTGCTGCTGGATGTGGATTTGAGCAAGTCGCTGTAGTTTGGCAGCATGGTCAGGAGCAGCTGCAAAGCACACAGAACAAAAGTCAGTCCCTGCTTAGTTTTGACATCCAGGAATTGCAGTTACCAAAGTAGAGACGACTGTCTAAGAGCATATTTAAAATCTTTCTATTGGGATTAATTTAATACATTTCTTTGTCAGCCGAAGCACACTACAGCTCAGAAATGCCCCGAAGATAAATACTGCTGGCCACCAGACCACCACTGGTTACTGCCACTTTCCTGCAAAGTAAGTGAAATGCCAGCGTTTTAGTTGTTTGTGTATATGCTGATCAGAACCAACTGAAAACAACTTTCTAAAGTCACCCCTCTGCTGCTTCTGGGGCCAGGAGCTATGGGTCCCAAGCTGAGGATTAGATGCCCAAGAGACTTGTATGAAGCACTCAACTGGATTACTATATGTGGCTATTACTGGTAAGCAACTGCATGGAGACTACAGAGACCTCACCATGCAAGGAGCAGGGATACTCAGTGAACAGGAAGCTACACCTTAGAAAGGAAATGTTCTACTGGGTTTTCCCCCTATAAGATTCTAAGGATTCTGTAGCGTAAAGTGTGTATCTGTTGGCCTCCATTTCCCCCCACTATTACGCTGGCTCACTGGACCAGCATCTCAGGAATATTTAACAGCCTTGCTAGTATAACATGGCTCTGGGGTCACTTAAATTCAGCCTCCCTGTACAGTGGCAGTATCGTAGCCAGGAGAATACATTCAAGCCCATGTTGCTGAAGAGGACGGCCATGCCACATTCTGCATTTTTTCTGCATGCTGCTGCACTGCTTTAGCGCTTAGATTGCAAACTCGTCAGAGTTGGAAACTCTTACAATGGTTTCCGGTTATTTGAGGCAGGCAGCTAGAGAACTTTTAAAAACAGCATTTCCACACTGTTCTTAGTGCCAGGGTAACGAAAGAGAGGCCACTTGTCTTCGCTAACCGCAGGACAGCCGCTATGAAAAGGTAGCTTGCAGATGAGCATGTGTTACCTTTGATGTGTGCACTGTCCAAGAACGGCTGGAGGTTGTTCACCTGTTCCAGAAGGGCGACTTGGGAAAGAATAAACTGCTCCTCTGGTTTAAAGGACAGAGAAGGAGAAGTTTAAGTCAAACACTATTTCAGCTTTTCACAGATGAGAAAAAGGAAGTTGATTAATTGGCCTGGTTCAGCTTCCCCTTCTCATAAGGCAATCAACCCTACATGCAGCAGAAAGACTTCACCGCAATGATACTTCGCGTTACCATCGCACCTTTCAACCAAGGATCTCTGTGCCTTTCGCAAACATCCCCCACCTTTTCTGGGGGAGGCATTATCAGATGGGGAAACAGAAGCTCAAAGGCGGCACACAGTATATAAAGGGAAGAACCAGGAGCAGAAGCCAGGATGTTCCTCACTAAGCTAGCAATGGAAAAAGCACATGCTTTTTGCTCTTTCATTGGCTCAGTTGTTGAGCCCCATTAAAAGTCAACCTCATGGTTCTGACTCTCCCTCACTTACACCAGTCTGAATCGGGGGAAATGCCACTGGAGTTACACACACCTACCACGGGAGAGGGGCGACTCAGATCCCCTGTGTGAGAGCTGGACAGGGTGTGGATACTTAATGCACATCATAAGAGCAGTTAAGTGTATATATACTGTGAACACTATTGTTACAGCAACAGTTGTGAGACATAGGGCAGCAATTCCACACACCCCTTTCCCCACCCCCCCAAGCTTCTGACCAAAGGCTAGACAGACTCAGAGGGAGCCAGTGTCGCTCCTTAATCATTCAGGGAAGGCCTTCAATAGCGAGAAAAGCACTCCTCATGCAGGAACTGGCTCCACTGTGCCAGTTGCATTCCAAGTGCTTGCCAGGGATCCAGAGACTGGCGACTGAACCACACTTGTTCTTCTCTGTACAATTCATACTGTAGTCTTTCCATTTCTGATCTTTTACTGGAGCATTAGCCAGTTTACAGGGGAAGACTAGACACTAAAGGAGGCATTTCTGTCCTAAGCACGTGATTGAGAGAGATTAAATGAATTGCATTCAATTAAAATCCCACCCCTCAACTTGTCTTGTGAGCTTTTGGGGAATGAGCATACTCCTTCCATTTCATGACATACCTGCTAAGATGAACTGCAGTTTCATGGCATCGGGAACAGCCATTCGATCAATGTACTGAGGATCCAGATATTTTATTAAATCTTCAACTAAGATCAGAAGTAGATGACAGGGAGGGAGAGAAGAGAAGTGACTACTTCTGGAAATACTGCCTGTCACAATTTCCTACTTACTACAAGATGTTGTTAAAAAGAATCAGCAGCTACAGTACTTCTACAGTACCATGAACTTACAAAGCATTTTATAGAACATCTGAAAGACACACTCTGCTTCAAAGAGCTTACAAATCTGAGCTGGCTAACTGTATTAGACAATTCAGATGTACCAAGATGCAGAGGCATCTTCACTGGGGGATCGGAGAGGAATGGCTTTTGAGTCAACAGTACAAAGTTGACTTGCTGCACCAAGCCTGTAAGTTTCTTTGTTTGATCTTATTAAAAAAGTGTGTACACACATGGCCCAACGCCAATAGGCACCTATTATTTACAGAAGATCCCACTAACCTGATAAGTATCACATTAGCCAATTTTAAATTCAACTGCAGAATTCACAGTCCATTCTTTAAAGGGAGGGCACAG